GAAGACATAGGTGTAAATCTTTGTGACCTTGGGTTAAACAATGGTTTCTTGGTATGACACCAAAAACACAAGCAAAATAACAAACATATTGGACTTTGCAAAAATTAAACTATTTTATGCTGCAAAAGAGTGCAGATAACCTACAGAATGGGAGAAAATAGTTGCAAATCATATATCTGATATGATATATCTGATATGTATAAATCATATCTCTATATATGAAAACATAATAGTCTTATAATTTGTATCAAAAACATAAAAAGAACTCCTACAATTCAATAATAAAAGGATAAATAATCAAATTTTAAAATGAGCAAAGGGTTTGAAAAGATATTTATCCAACAATATATACAGTAAATAAGCACATGAAAAAATGCCAAACATCATTAGTAGTTAGGGAAATACAAATCAAAATCACAATGGGATACTCCTTCTCACCCACTAGGAAGGCTGCAGTCAAATATATCTTTGCAGTCCCACTGCTAGGTATATATTTCAGAAAATTAAAAGGCAAATTTGCACACACATATAGCAGCATTATTCATAATCGCTAAAGAGTGGAAACAACCCAAATGTTCATTAAGTGATAACGGATAAGAAGATTGTGTTATATGCTTATGTTGTGGTACTATTCAGCCACAAAATGGAATGAAGTATTGATACATTGATACATGGATGAACCTCAAAGCATTATGCTATATGAAGGAAACCAGACACCAAAGATCACGTATTATATGATTCCATGTAGAGACAGAAAGAAAATTAGTGGTTTCTTGGGGCTGAAGGGGAGAATGAGTGAGGAGTGACTGCTAAATAGTATGGGGGGGGGAGGGAGAGAGAGAGAGAGACAGTGTGTGTGTGTGTGTGTGTGTGTGTGTGTGTGTGTGTGTGTGTGTGTGTGTTGATTATAATCTGGGATGAGACAGTGGTAATGGTTACGTAACTGTGTATAGTAAAAACAATAAATTGTATGCTTTTAATAGGTAATTTTATGGCATGTGAATTATATGTCAATAAGGTGTCTTTTAAAAATAATTCCTTTAAATTAAGGTGTTTTTCCTTTTTAAAAACATGGGGAGAAAGAAATGTTTTAGTATTTTGTGCAGACTCAAGTGTCTGACCCTTTCCAGTGCACAAGTAGCTAGAAGCAAGACTCAGAGTTTTGCTAGGCCTGATAAGAAAACAATGTCCGGGCAGGAGGGAACTAACACAAGAGATGGGACCCTGAGAGAGCCTTGGTATCCAGGAGCAAACCCAAAGATCCTGATGTCTGAAGAAGGTGAGAAGGGACCGTGCTCTTGAAGATGGAGAATATTAAGTATGAGTGAATGCGTAATCAATCATGAAGCCTTGATGAGAACTTCTGGGTAGTCTGGGGGATCTTGCTTGTCTCACCTATGCCAACATCCTGGGGTGGAGGAGTGGCGCGAATCTTCCATTTGGCTGCTGCACTCTGGTCCACCCTGTGTACCGTTCCTTCAGAGGCAATCACCTTGGCTGTTGGGCTTTGAGGCCTGAGTGCCCACCCACAGTGGCAAGAGTGCCATGGGCCTCCATTGCAGTGGTGTGGTCGCAGGACCTCAGTGCCTTCCTGTGCACAGATGGCACTCTTCGCACTCTACCTGTGATGACTTGATAGTAGAGAAGTCCCTCAAGTCCTTCAAGGACAAGAACAAGAAACTCGTTATACAAGCTTATGCCGGGTATACAGCCCCACCCACCCCACAGAGGTGGTGGTGAAGAAGTCCCTCTGGCAGAAGCAGCAGGATGAGCTGAAGTGCTACTGCCATGGCTTCCACCTGCTGTGGAGCCACACCAAGATGGCGGCGCGCATGCTCTGGCGCATCCTCCCCAGCCACACCTTGACCAGCCAGGAGTGCAGGCAGTTTCTACGGATCTACACCACCCTCTTCCGCTTGGTTCAGTTCCTCATGTTTGTGGTGGTCCAGTTCATGGAATTCCTCCCACCCGTGACCTTGAAGCTCTTCCCCAACATGCCATCATTCACATTTGAGACCCAGTTCATCAAGGAGGAGAGGTTGCAGAAGGAACTTCAGGTCAGCCTGGAGCTGGCGAAGTTCCTCCAGGACACCATCAAGAAGAGGGTCTTGAAGAACAAGGCAGGCAAGGGCAGTGCCACCAGACTACTCTGTTTTTCCAGAAGATCCAGGAGATGGGGGAAGAGACCCAGCAATGAAGAAATCATGCGTTTTTTCAAATTATTGGAGAATAAGCGGACCCTGGACAACCTGTCACGGTTGCAGCTGATGGCACTGCGCATGCTGCTGGAGCTGCAGTCCATTGGCACCAACAGCTTCTGCGCTTCCAGCTCACCATGCAGCTATGTTCCATAAAGGGCGACAGCAAGCTGATTGCTAAGGAGGGGTGAACAGCCTGAACGTCAGGTAGCTGCAGGCAGCCTGTGGGGAGCGAGGCATGTGAGCTATACGTCAATGTCAGTTGTCAGCTATTCAGCATCAGCTGAAGCAGTGGCTGGACCTGCACCTGCATCAGAAGATCCCCATATCTCTCCTCATCCTCTCCCAGCCTATGTACCTCCTAGACACTGTCTCGCCAGCCAACCAGCTCAAGTCCATACTGCAGTCCCTCCCGGAGATTGTGGCAAAGGAAGCGCAGGTGAAAGTGGCCAAGGTAGAGGGCGAGCAGGTGGACAACAAGGCCAAGCTGGAGGCCATGCTGTAGGAGGAGGAAGCCATCCAGCAGGAGCACCACAAGGAGCTGCAGAAGTGCTCGGAGGTGGAAAAGGATGTCAAGCGTGAAGGTATAGAAGCTACTCCTCAAAGGCCAGGGGCCTAACTGCAGCCAGAAGTGCTTGACATAGTCCTATGGTCAGAGACGCTGAAGGACGCTGCCCCACTGCTAGAGAGCTCTAACGAGGAAGAAATAACTAAGGAGGAAATAGACATCCTCAGCAATGCCTGCTGTAAGCTGAAGGAGCAGAAGTTGCTCACCGAGGAGAAGATGGAGCCGGAGCTGCTGAAGGAGGACATGCAGGACTACAGCAAGGATTTGCAAGAGATGAAGAAGGAACTTTCAAACACCAGTGAAGAAACATGTGTAGAAGAATCTAAAGCCAGCAAGATACTGACCAAGAGGGTGCAGCAGATGATCAGGCAGATGGAGGACTTGATCTTGCACCTGGAGATGGACCAGCAGCTGGAAACTGGGCCTGGCCTAGGGCATGCCTCGGGGGAGAACACCATCACTGTTGCTGAGCTCATCAGCACCCCACTGTGAAGCAAGTCAGGCAGTCCAGAAAACAAGCTCACTAGCCTGGCCAAAGCACTGGATGAAGACAAGAATGGCAAGGGCAGCACTGACAACCTTGTCAGCATGATTGAGTTTGTAGACAAAGATGTTCACATCTCTACCAGCCAGGTGGCTGAAATTGTAGCAACCTTAGAGAAAGAGAAAATAGAGGAGAAGGCAGAGAAGGAGGCCCCAGAGCTGAAAAGCTAGAGCTGCCAGCCTGGGCACCCTTCCTCCTGCTTCCCGACTGCCCTGGCGAGGGCCGTGAGAGCAATTGCTTTGAGGTGATTTTCAGTGGCTCATGTAATTCCTTGGCTAGAATGGATCAGAGGCTTCCATAATCAAGTAAATTTTAATTTTCATCATTCCACGGAAATTCAGTCAGTCGAGAATCCTGGAACCCCTCCACAGAATCATGTTGGATCCACCCTGTGGTGTGGTGCAGCTGCCACAGCTGCCTAACTCCAGAGACTACTGGGCCAGGCTGGGGCAGGAAGGTGCCCCCTCATGTGTGCCCACCTGTCTTGGCTGCCTTGTCCCCAGGGAGGAAGAGAATGAGGACTGCATGGACTCTGCCCACACAGAGATGTCAGCTTTGCCCACCCTCAGAGACTCAGGAGACACAGCGCAGCCTCCTCAGGGCTGAAGATGCCTCCATTCGTCTGTGAGCCTTGATTTCTAGATATTGGTGTCAACAGATCTGTCTTCCTTCACACACAAAAAAAGAATATTACATATGATTTATAACTTAATAATATGCCTAATGACTTTGCTATTTCTAGCTTCATTTGGGGTTATATCTTCTGTTACATCCTCAAGCTCTGATGAAATGAACACTTGTTAGGGTCAGTGAAGCTCAAACATTCATCAAATACATAGATATGTAAGACACATTGTGCTAAGCACTGAGTTATAAAGATGTGTGGCATGCTCTGTCTTAATGTTGCTTGTAGTCTTTTGTCTTTTTGATAATATGAATAGAACGAGGTGATTTTAGATGAAATAAGAAGGTTAAAAACAATATGGCTAGTTTTTGTGTCAGGTAAGTAAGATACAAAGAACGACAACATCTGGTATATGGTACATATAAAATGGACTACAGATTTAAAGAAATATAAGTCTACCAGTGTTACATTGGTCAAGGTATTTGAACTTTTATCAATGCAGAGTGTAGGGAAAGGTACAGGGACTCTTCTGGTTTGCAACAGGTCATAACAGGGAAACACATTTTCTGCATAAATGATTAGAGAATGGTAGGGAAGGCTACTTCAGCCAGAAACTTGGATAAATATTTATCAATAATACCATTATTTGTGTCAAACATAGTTCTGGGTAGTAAGGAAAGCCCTTTTTTTTTTTTTTTGGAAGAAAGGCTAGTTTCAGATCAATAACAAAGTAGAGAAACTGCTTCATTTTGCCTTGGAGTGTTAGGGCAGAGTGGAAATGGACAGCCTTAATATCCTTGTATCAGGGCCACACATGGATATCAAGGCTGTCACAAGGATTGGCCAGGAATGTAGGCATGTATGTAGTCCAAGGAGAATTCTCCTTCAGGTAACAACATGGAAAGAATCTTTTAAGTGATGAGTAAGAGAGATATCATGTTCTGGTTATCCTAATGAGTCCATAATATGGAGCTTGGGACACTTAAATAGGAGCTTGACAGAGAAGTAAAGGCTTATATTCAATAAGAAAGCTTCAATAATTGTTTTTTTTTTTTACTTCTATAGCAGATATCAATTTGGATATATCAAAGCCTTTGAAAGCAAACCTGAGTTTCACCAAACTGGATCAGATAAACCTCTTTTTAAAGAAGATTAAAAATGCGCACAGTTCAGCACATAGTGAAGAGACTTCAGCCCTGCCCAACACCATGGCGAATAAGGATGATCTTCCAGTCTCCAAATATTACCGTGGAAAGTTGTCTAAACCCAAAGTTTATGGTGATGGAGTACAAAAGATTTCAGTTCAGGAAAACATGTGGAGAGCTGTTTCCTGCTTTCAAAAAATTTCTGTTCAAACTACTCAGATTGTGATCTCCATGGAAACTGTCCCCCATGCTAGTAAACCATGCCTGTTAGCATCTCTTTCAAACCTCAGTGGAAACCTTAGTGTCAAAGCAGCACAAAAAGTACCTGGTAAGTCACAGAAAAGGGGAGGGGGGGAGACAGGACAAGCAATATGATTTGTTAACATCTGAAAATGCATCATTTTCAAGATTTATATTATGTAGAAGTTAAAAGTTGTAAAGGCCATTAGAGATGAGGACACTTCTGTTTTGTGACCTTATTTTTAGATATAATTTTAGAACAAATCCTTTAAGTATAGATATTTCAATGTCTGAACAGAAATGTTTCTATCCTCCTCTTGAGGCATGTTCTTACGGGTGTCTTGAAAACTGTTAATTGCTAAATTTCCTTTTACCTAAAACAGCTATAGTGGAACAACAGTATATAAGTTTTGTGAACCATTAGAATAGTGGTTCTCAAAGTGTGATCTCAGGACTAGCAGCATCAGGATCACCTGGGAAATTGTTAATTCTCAGACCCCACCCATGACTTACTGAATCCAAAACTCTGGGCATGGAGCCCTGAAATCTGTGCTTCAACGAGCCCCACAGGTGATTCTGAGGCACAGCATTAAGTCACTGGTAACTGTTTACTTAAAAAAGAAAAGTTGCTTTGGTGGCAGATATGCTACACAAAGTATAACAGAAGCCAGGATTCAACTTTGTAAGAATGCTATTGAGGCATTTTATCAGGCAACAACACCTGGCAAGGCAAAGCTGTGCTTCTGTGCCTAGCCTAGCAAAGGGAGGGACAGATCCTGCAAACTGAATGTCATCGATGAGAGGAGAGGTGAGAAATCAACCAGCAGTGACATCTACATTTGCCTCTTCTGTTACCATGACTAAATTCTTACATACTTTTTCAAAAAGAGTGGGCAGAAGGATTGTGAGGAGGGGAAGAGGAAAGGCAAGACACAGGTGGGAAATAACAGTTTTCAATCACAGAAACTGCTACTGTAAAATTTCAGGGCATAAGGCCAGAAATTTTGCTCTGGAAGTAAATGTAGCAAAAGGGAACCATATCTTTTCCCACTTTAATTTGTGGAGGGAAATAGGGGATTGGGGATAGTGTAGGGGATAAAGTAAATCCTTATATGCAACTTAGTTGCTTATCAAAAAGTAATTAAATGGCAGCTGCAGACTAACTGTAACTTAGTTCCATATAGCCAGTTTGGGCTCAGTAGTTGAAAGGAAAAGTTTTATAGCTGAGAAGTGTGAATTTTAGGCCAAAACGGATGATTTATTTCTTTCTCACCAGAAATATTTGTGACCAAGCCAACTAAAAGCTCTGTGTTTTGTTTTTTTTTTAATTGTCTTAAAAGTTGTGAGTGAAAAAGGTAAGGTCCATGGGACATGAAAGACTATGAAATACTGAAGTATCTGATGTATCCACAAATAAACTGCAACCCAGACAACACTGGGCCTATTCCCATGCCTTTCCAATTGTCCCTCAGTCATAGCAGGGAAAGGTTAAGACTCAAACAAAATGGAAGAATTTAAACATACTGTACTCACTTCCAGGTCCTTTTTTTTTTCATCCTCATTGCTTTGTTATTCATTTGATACTCATATTTTATCCGTGTTTAATGATGTCTGTCTTTCGTAAACATCTCTACAATATTAAGAAACCCTTCTCTCACTAAGCTGTATGAATTAGTAAACTCTAGTTTTGGAACTTGTTTTTTTCCCCTTTATATAGGAAAAACAACATACCCTTAATCCTTTTACAATTATGTTCTTAAATCTAGTTAAACACAAAAATGGCAACTATAGCTTTGACTAAACATGCTTTATACAGCTCTAACATGCAGGGTCCAGCAAATATTTTAAAGTAATTATTTGCATCAAATCAAATCTCAGTTGAGGTTAGCTACTTAATAGGAACAATTTTGTTATGAGACTATAATGAACACCAAAATATATTTTTACTGCAGTTTTTTCTTTATGCATACTCAAACAGTTTAGGATGATAACAAGTGTAGCAAAATAATAATAAACTGTAATTACATGAAATTAGACTATATTAACTTCTAGTTATAAGGACTGATTTCTCGGGAAATTGTGATTAAGAGATTGGTACATATTTTTTCAAAAAAATTATTTTAACTGTATTTTTATAATAAAACATAATTTAAGCTTTGAACATTAATTTCATTTTGTAGTCAAATGTCTTAAAAATTCATGCTTTGCAATTTGGATAAAATATATGCAAACATATATTCAAAGTATAATTTTGGTAAGTGGTAAAAAACTATCCACCACCAAAAAGCAAATATACTCACATAAAAGCACCCTACCAGTAGTCATATTTCTTTTTGTAGTTTTCAAGTGACATTGTTCTACATTCAACTGAAATTTTTTATACTGTAGTATATTTTTGAGCTCAATGAAGTTAATGTCAGATTTTTATAGTTTGAATCTAATACAGAAATGCCTAACTGTGTCTTTGATTTTACAGTTTATATAACTGTTGTGACCATCTGCAGCAGCTGCACTTTTCAAAATTATTTGCTGAACCAAATTGAGCACAGTGACAAAAGTAGTCATCTCAGATGTACTATTAAACAGAAAGAAAAAGGAGCATTGCCTTGGTACAGTATAGCCATCTGCTGTACAGATGTTATTGTATAGAATGACTTCAGATAAAATAATTGTAGAAAATTTTCATTAAAACCTCAACAATTTGCACTTGTTTATGCGAATCTGCATAACTCCCCAATGAGACAACACACTTGGGGTTTCTTTGGTTCTCACTCACTTTCTCTTTGATCCTTTTTGATGTGCTGACTTTAATAAACACAGTCAAAAACACTGTGCAAAAACATCATGGAAAAAACTACAAAGGAACAATTATAGCAGCAGAAACTAATCCCTAACTTACGCAAGCTATTTTTAGTGAAGTATTTTTTTAACACTCTTTATGTGACAGTGTTATATAAACAGGGTAAAACAGTCCTTTCCAGATGAGTTTTAATTTAGGAGCCGAAATAGATTTGTAATGCTAGAGGAATCTTATGTGCTAAGTAATATCTAGAGAAACACCATTGAGAATGTGTTTTAGGTATGTTTTCTTATTTTTCAAAGGTAGAAAAATATTTGAGTTCACCTAATGATTATATTTTTTTATCATCTAAACTGTCATAAGCTTACTGGAAGTGTATGCGAAAGGAAATAATATGATCGAAAGACATAAGTTAATTTTTCTCCCCTGAACATTCTCAATACATTTAAATAATCTGTGCTTTCATATTTATTTACTGATTTTTAAAACTAAATATTTATAAATGATTGACTGAAGCAGTTAAAGGAATTATTACTTGGAATGAAGCAAAATGGTTCAATATTTTCTACTTTACAAAAAATATCTACTAGTTCTTCTTAGCCTCCTGCATTATTCTTTGACCCTAAACTATGGGAGTTTCATGGGATTTGATTTTTTTTTTTTTAATTCTACTCTGCAGATACTGGTGTAGCAGTGACTTACAATAACCAAACCCTTACTTCTGTTAGAATACTTATGTTATCTCATGAATCTTTGGTAAAATGACCCAAAAGTTCTGATTTCAGTAGATGTAATGCCTATATTTTTAAAGTTGGTATATAATACAGCTGAAAATCCTATGATTGTATTAAAAGTACATATCCTTTAGAAATTATATTTTAAAATATTTTAAAGCAGATAATATTTCTTTTGCTATTCATTAAATTTATCCCATTCTATAGTATTTTCTTAAAAAATAAAATAAAAGCTTTCCCTTACATGTACATACAACACAATCTTTTTTGCCATTTGAAGTATATAGCTATAAATTGTGAACTGGCAGTGTAGCACTTTCCAGAGGCAGGGTGGAGAGTGAGCTACAGACTTTAGCTCCCCTTGTCAGAGTAAATTATGGCTCTATTTGGGCGGCACTCCTTAGATTTTGACAAGCGAACACAGTTCAGAGCTGTGAAATAGCTGTACTTTAGGCTGCCTTGCTCTTTCTTGGGGGCACTTAGATTGGCAGCCTCTGTGTATGTAGATAAGGAAAAGGAAAATAGAACATGAGCGAGTTAGATGAAACAAAAGATTGGGGGAAGAACCGTAATAAGGTCATCTTGGCTGGCATTTTAGTCAGAATTCAGAAGAATTTAGACAGATCCCCTGCCATAAGGACTTGGGTGACTTTCCACCCAAGCCAAAAACAGTGAGTTGAACTCCTGCTAGTCAAAGGGCTATGGCTTATGTAACTTTCACTACCCCAGCCTCTGTCATCCAGATGTACTTATCTTTTTGAATAAACAAAAGTAGAGAGAGAAAGCATGCCACATTATTTTTCACATACGCAAAATGTCTCTTCTAACAGTCACTGAATTCAGGACCAATAACATGTAAAGAACCTAAAGTTCCTTTTCATGTATTGAAAAGTGAAACCAGGTCATTAATTGATAAAAAGTAGAGCTCTAGCTTTTCATTCTATAGTTAACTGGATTTCCTAAGGAAAATCTTATAAAGCGTTGTCATAACCTTTGGATACTGCAGAGATGCAAGTTAGCCTAAGGGGAAATAAAACATTAAATTAAATATGACTACCTAAAATAATATCATGCAATAACCAGCCAATTACAACATGCAATAACCAGCCAATGACAACATCCCAAAGTCTTTTGTTACTTTTAGAAAGAAATAACATCTCTGTCCAATGCCTGAACAATAGGAAGTGAGTTCTTGGACAGTTAAAGCCAGAGGACAAACTTAACTTTTAAGCAGCCACTGAGGATTGAAGTGGAAGTACAGCTTGTAGACAGCTACACAAATCACTAACAACTCTTAGTGAATATTGGGTGTGGGCATCAGGGTCCTGTCATTTTTGACACTATGTCCCAAGTAGCTTAAACCCAACACTCAGGGAAAGGTGGAGACCTCATTGGCTCTGTAACATCTGGGATTTTATTTGTCATTTTGGCATACCCCACAAGTGCAAAAGAAAGAGTAAAAGGGGATTATCTTGACAATGAAATGAGTTACTGAATCTTGTGATAATGAAAAGCAGAAGAATTCTAATGCCTTTCTATAGTCCCTGAGGTAGA